GACGGAGCTTGAGGTTTGAGAATCAACAATTGCTGAATGTTCATCATCTGAAGTAATCCCCTTGGCTAACTTATTATAGTTAACCGAGCGGATAGCTCCGATGCGAGTTCGGGTGCGCCGATATATCCCTTCAAACTCGTCACATATTTCTCGGACAGTTGGAGAATGACTTCTTTCTGATTCATCCGAAACGGGAATTGAGGCCTTCCCTCTGCCTATCATATTAATAGTGACTTCGGGATGTTCAACTACAGCTATTTTCTTTTTGTGATGACGTCGTCGCTTGACAGGCCTGGCGACGTTTGTTAATCGGTTGAATACCGATTGTCAAGGTTCAGGTGTACAGCAGTGGTATTCTGAAAAGACTGCTGATATAAGCCGCTCACATTGGCAAGAATGAGCTGCTTGTAATGTTGGTCTTTCTCTCGACAACAATTCCCGTAAATCAGATACTTAAGAATAATCTTTCACCGAGCATGAAGATGGAAGCAGGGACCCCTGCTCTTGAGTGGGTAAGACTGATTCTTGTCGAACATGGATTTTAACCCCATGTTGACCTTTTTGAACTTGGCGGACCATGTCGCGTTCTTGAGAATAAAAGCGAGGGTCGCGTTTGGGTTTGTAAAGATTAGGTCGAGGCCTGCGTTTAAAAGATGAAACAGACCCCTGAGGATCACATTCCACTTGAACGCATTCCTGAGATGCGCATTTATCTTTGGTAGCGCCTTCCTGAGGGTTACGTTTGGAGGAGCAACGCGCCACTGAGGGTCGCGTTTGAGTTGTTTCATGCGAGGCTCATAATTAGGCTCATTCCCGCAAAGTGTGCGTTCTGGAGTAGAAACGCCGTGTTCGGGCAAAGTCTCAAAAATGTGATCATCGCGTTGAGTAAGAGATCGGCTTTCTCAAAAATGTGCCCGTCGTATGGATCTTCTCCATCTTCGAGCTTTTTGGCTTGTTACAAAGCCTTTGCAGTAACAGCGTTGGCGTTTATAGAGCTCGCCTCCTCTATAGATCGTTTGTGACCCGTGACATGTCGTGTTGACGCGGACGTGGAACGTTCAACTCGTTGGACGAGTTCATCAGAGGCTAAGCCCGCTCCTTTAGCGGAGGGGCTGTTCCATGAATCCTGGCCAAAGGAGAGGACTTCCTTTGGCATTTCAGCAATAGTTTTAATCTCTTTGGAAATCTTGCGGATGTTACGCCTAGCTTTGGGGCTCAGGGATCCAGAGGAAAGAGCTTCCTCGTACTTGGCCTGATCAAACTCTACAACGAGAGTTTCCACCATTGTTCCAGCAAGATGGATGTCGGATTGCGCCACCACTTCATCGTCAGAGAAGCTAGTCCTCAGCGGAGTCGCCATCTTTTGTTTGGTAGAAAATTTGTAGTAAAAAAATAAAAGAAATTTGATTTTTATTCTCTCGATCTTAATTACAATTTGGATTCCAGATTACAAAAGAGAGGAGAATGATCTGGATTCTTCCCTTTATTTAATTCTGGGTTCTTCACGGTGGCGATAGAGTGCCTCCCTCGAATGCTCGCGTCGAGTTTGCTATCCGTTGATGATCCGAACATCTTGATTCACTGGAATGATTGGAGAACTCTTCACGAGTCTTATGACTCAGAACGAGTGCCAAACTCTGTAAAAAGAGTTGTTTTAACTGAATAATCGATTAATACGCCAAGTATATGAATTCTTTGTTACTGATGAAGGATGCTTCAAGATCTTCTTATTGCCAAGAATCTCCCTTCAGCTGATCTTGTGGATGATCCGATCTCCAAAAAAAATCCCCCCCCCGACTTTGTTGAGTTTATTGGGATTTATAGGAGGATAAGGGGTGTAACTGACCTCTTAATCCGCTCCTAAGTGGGGGTTTAGTCATCCCATTAATCGGGTGTAACAACCCACGTAAACCACTCCCCAAATCGTGGGTGAAGAGCAATTTCGGGATTGCTACGATTACGTTTGAACAGGTCAAACGCAAGCCTTACGTTGCTGGGCATGAACCTGTGTATACTTTTGGATGATACATCGGCGTCTGAGCTTGAGTTGCGTCCACGGTTGAATTAGTACCGCGTTTGTACTGCGTTCAGCGGCTGTAAACGCTGTGCGTTAGAACTGCATTTGTACTGCGTCTATGCTGTGTTTAGCGGTTGAAAACAATGTTTATGGTGCGTTTGAGCTGCGTTGACAGCTGAAAATGTAGTGATTGTGTTGCTTTGACTCTGGAACGTAATCACTTGTATCTCAATCTCTGGGATGCAGGGATGAGTTCCGCACTTCGATTTGAAGAAATTGTTGTCTTGTAGTCCCTTCTTAATTGACATGAAAGTCGTCTGATTGTAACCTTCTTAGTCAAAATTGTTGGTTGAAGTCTGACATGGGTCAGCTATCTATTGTGATTTTTAGACAGCCTACAAACCCTTGTATAGATCTATTATGTTAGGTCAAGTTTGATTCATGTTAAGTCTAATTAAATTTTTTTAAGTCTAATTTAAATCATGTTAAGTCTAATTCAACTTGTTAAGTTTAATTTAACATGTTAAGATCTAAAAATAAGTTGAATTAGAGTTAACATGAATCATGTTAAGTTTAATTTAACATGTTTTAAGTCTAATTTTTTGTTAAGTCTAATTTGATTTATATTAAGTCCTGTTTGATTCATGTTAAGAATGATTAATGTACTTAGCCTATTCGATAATATGAAGGACTAAATTATTAACCCGTTAAATAAGTTTTATTTTAGTCCTTGTGATCAGTTTTAGTGTTTGAGAATAACAATGATTTTGACTATTTTCTTTATAATTAGAAGGGTTAACTCTTAATCCTTCTAAATAGGAGAATTAGTAAACCCCTCATTTTAAGGGGTTAACTCATTTTAATCCAACTCTTAATCCTTCTAAATAGGAGAATTAGTAAACCCCTCATTTTAAGGGGTTAACTCATTTTAATCCCTCTAGAGGGGTTAGCTTAAAACTTCTATATTTTTTATGTTTGGTAAATTATGGAGGGTTAACTCACTTTAACCCTTATATAGATCTATTATGTTAGGTCAAGTTTGATTCATGTTAAGTCTAATTAAATTCTTTTTAAGTCTAATTTAAATCATGTTAAGTCTAATTCAACTTGTTTAAGATGTAAAAATAAGTTGAATTAGAGTTAACATGAATCATGTTAAGTTTAATTTAACATGTTTTAAGTCTAATTTTTTATTAAGTCTAATTTGGTTTATATTAAGTCCAGTTTGATTCATGTTAAGTCTAATTTATTTTATTTTAAGTCTAATTTAAATCATGTTATGTCTAATTCAACTTATTTTAAGTCTAAAAATAAGTTTAAAATAAGTTGAATTAGACTTAACATGAATCATGTTAAGTCTATTTCAACTTATTTTAACTCTAATTTCATGTTAAGTTCAACTTTACTTCATGTTAAGGCCAATTTGATTCTTGTTAAATCTAATTTAACTCATTTTAAGTCTAATTCCATGTTAAGTCCAACTTGATTCCTGTTAAGGCTAATTTCAGTTTATGTTAAGTCTAAATTCAGTTCATGTTAAGCCTAATTTCATGTTAAGTCCAACTTGATTCGTGTTAAGTCTAAATTCAGTACATGTTAAGTCTAATAACAGTTCATGTTAGGTTTAGTTTCATGTTAAGTCCAACTTGATTCGTGTTAAGTCTAATTTTAGTTCATGTTAAGTCTAATTTCATGTTAAGTCCAACTTGATTCGCGTTAAGTCTAAATTCAGTTCATGTTAAATCTAATAACAGTTCATGTTAGGTCTAATTTCATGTTAAGTTCAACTTGATTCATGTTAAGTCTAATTTCAATTCATGTTAAGTCTAAATTCAGTTCATGTTAAGTCTAATATCAGTTCATGTTAGGTCTAATTTCATGTTAAGTCAAACTTGATTCGTGTTAAGTCTAAATTCAGTTCATGTTAAGTCTAATAATAGTTCATGTTAGGTCTAATTTCATGTTAAGTCAAACTTGATTCGTGTTAAGTCTAAATTTAGTTCATATTAAGTCTAATAACAGTTCATGTTAGGTCTAATTTCAATCATGTTAAAATCCTTTTAAGTCTAATTTAAATCATGCCAAGTCTAATTCAAAATTTTAAGTCTAATTTCATGTTAAATGCAATTAAATTAGACTTAAAACAAGTTAAATTAGACAAAACATGATTTAAATTAGACTTAAAAAAATTAAATTTGACTTAACATGAATCAAATTGGATTTAACAAGAAATTAGACTTTCATGTTAAGTCTAATTCAACTTGTTTTAGATTTAACATGAAAGAATAGAGGAGATAATGATACTTTTGGGGTTTTTATTTTTTATTCTCTCTCTATGATTAGTTGGCAGATAATAATTGCTAAAGAAGGTCTGCAGAATATAGATCTCCAATTTAAGAGCTAAAACACTTGGGAAAAAGTTAAAAGGACAGCAACACATAAAATTTTTTGCTTTTGGGGCTTTGACACAATTTTCCCAATTATTTTTTATTCTGTAACGCTTTTCGCATGCATCCCGTACAAAACACGGGCTCCTATTTTTTTAAGAATATTATTTTGAACTTGCTTCTGTCTAAGTTTTAATACATTTAATTTAATTATTATATACTTAAAATTAAAAATTATATTTACTCCTCTATACTTAAAGAAGATCCAAGTTTTAATTTGATTTAGAAATCATATCTACTCTATATATTTAAAGAAGAATCCAAGTTTTAGTATATTTAATCTACTTTACAGTTTATGATACAGTAAAATATTGTAGTATAAATAGTAACTTTAAGTATGACCAAACAGATTTAATTTACTGTTTATACTACAGTAAATTACTGTAGTATAAAAATTACTTTCGAGTGCATAGGAAAGATTTGATTCACTGTTTATGTTACAGTATCTACTGTATAGTTGACGTAATATGAACACTGATTCTTTGAGTTTTCAAGGAGTAGATTAGTTCACTTCATCACTAGCTTCCGACAAAAAAAAAAAGTAAACACCCTCACCATCAGCTGCGGAGATGCACTGAACCGACCAGCACTCCAGTCCAATATTATAATATTATATAAGCTTGCATCGCCCCTCTTCCCAGATCCACACGGAATTATACAAATATCTCCACTCCGCTCTCCCTCCTCCTCCACCGTTGCAGCCCAAAAATGGATGACAACTCTGAAATCCTCACCGAGTTCGTTCTCCGCGTCTACAAGGACGGCCACGTCCCCCGCCTCGTGGGCACCGACACCCTCCCGGCCGGCCTCGCCCCTCCACGGGGTCACCTCCAAAGACGTCGCCATCAACTCCGACGTCTCCGCCCGCCTCTACCTCCCCAAAACCGCGACACACCCCAGAAGCTCCCGATCCTCGTCTACATCCACGGCGGCGGCTTCATGATCGAGTCCCCTTCTCCCTTCCTACCACCCCACCTCAACTCCCTCGTCTCCCAAGCCAACATCGTTGCTCCTCTCCGTCCATTCGGCCTCGCCCCGAGCACCGCCTCCCCGCCGCCTACGACGACTCCTGGGCCGCTCTCCAGTGGGCCGTCTCTCCCGACGCGGATCCGTGGTTGACCCAGTTCGGAGACACGGGTCGCGTGTTCGTCGCAGGCGACAGCGCGGGCGCAAACATAGCCCACATGTGGCCATGCGAGCCGATAAATCGAAGGAAGGGATGATCTTGATCCACCCGTACTTTTGGGGGACCGAGCCGATTGGATCCGAAGTCGCGAGAGACCCGAAGGAGAGGAAGTTCTATGAGGATGTTTGGAAGTTTGTGAACTCAGGAGGGGCGCATGCGGACGATCCGATGGTTAATGTGATGGCGGAGAATGCGCCGAGCTTGAAGGGGTTGCCGTGCGAGAGGGTGATGGTGGCGGTGGCCGGAAAGGATGCGTTGGTGGAGAGGGGGAGGGCGTATTACCAGGCCCTGAAGGGGAGCGGGTGGGGAGGGGAGGTGGAGCTGGTGGATATCGAGGATGTGGAGCACTGCTTCCATTTGAAGAACCCGGAGGTGGATGAGGCCATGGGGTTAATAGAGAAGATGGCTGCTTTCTTTGCAAAATAAACGGTAGTTTTAAATCGCTACTTTTTCAGATAATAAGTATGTGATCCTAGGGATTTGCTTGATATGCGCAGCGTGAGGAAAACGGTTCGTGTTTGGATTATATGTATGGCTTGAATATTGGGGAGTGAGAAATCTCTTTTATTAGTTTGAAGTTGAAATGTACGTGTTGTGTTGATTGAGAAGCTTGCTTTCAAATTAGCTAGTAGCGAAGAAGAAATTGTTTGCGCGCAGGTTGATAAGAAACGTCTTTTTCACGATAAGATTATAAAAATTGCTGGCAGGTTAAAGATCACCATCGAAGGCAGAAGATCGCAGCATATGCTGAGCATATGCGGAGTTCCAGACTGTTCCGCCTAGAGGTGGGAGGGGGGTGTTTGGCCCGTGGGCTGTGCCTTCCACCCAGGCAGTGGACCTGCTAGGTCCGGGCACGGACCCGGGACCATAAAGATAACGCCAAACTCACCCGCCAAGCTTAGGTCCAGTCATAATTGGCAGGAAGTGGAGGGGTTAGATAAGGCTGATTAAAAGTACCCAACAGCTTTGATTACAGTGTCTGTGCTTCATTAAAGTACCGGTGGCATATCTTGTAATTTGTTTCATTGAAAATCTTTCTCACAATCAAAATTTAAAGGATGAGGTGCCCCACACCCAAAATCTTAATTCAGACCATCTCCAACCATTCCCCGTATCTTCAAAATCTCCAAATTTGGAGAGTGGAACATTTCTAACCACTCTCCAAATTTGGAGATCTCCAAATTTGACCCTCCAAATTTGGAGGGTGGGGAGAAAATATGGAAGGTCTCTCCATAACCCTATTCATGATTTTTTAATTACAATTTTACCATTTTTAACTATTTGATTTCTTAAAAATTACCACTTTGTCATCCTTCTTAGTAATTTTAATTAGATGTTTAATTTTAAATAAATATAGTTAAAAATTATTAATTTAATATTTGAAATCATTATATATTTGGAAAGGGCTTGTTGAGATCTTTAAAATAAAACTAAGATTAATTTATTTTAGCATTATTATAAAATTATTAATTTTTTAAATTAAATAAATAAGTATCAGACATGAAATTTTAAATACGGGGATCTATTTAACTTGCGACCTATGGTATGTTGTATTAGAGGTTAATATTTGCTTTCTTGTTCTATCGATGTATGCTTTCACTGTTATTTCAGAATTTCTTCTTTTTTAATATGTTGTATTGCAGTATTAATATTGGGTTCATTTTAAAGCTCTCATCGACACCTTTATAATGTTATACTTTTTTTCCCAAATAAATTATTAACAATAAAATCATTAACGTAAACTATATCCAACATTCTTTAATTTATATGGCTTTTTTAACAAAATAAAAATAAAAATAAAAATAAAAATATTTGGAGTGTGTGGGTTGGAGCAACCCTCCAAATTTCAGCCTCCAAATTAGAATATTCCTAGAATATTCTAATTTGGAGGGCCAAATTTGGAGGGAATGGTTGGAGATGCCCTAGAACTTCTATTTGGTTAAAAAGTTATTTTAGAAAGTAAAAAAAATAAAAAGAGAAACAGATTTTAGGAAGCTAACAAAGTTACGTTTCTTAATTCTTTCAAAACTGCTGCTGTTAAAATTTTTTTTTTATTGTATGAAAACTCGGGTTATGTAACCTATAAAATATCTTATTTTATATTGGCTTTAATGAAAAAAGTTGAGTTATTTAAATTTCTTTTTTTTGCCCCTTTCAAACTCCTCTTTTTATTTTTACTTTGTGTCTACAATTTTTTACATTTTCCATGGTAATATTTTTAAATTTTATTCAAATTATAGTTTTTTATAGTACTTATTTATCCACTACTTCCTGTTTGTTTGCACGTAAGTAATTATGAATTAGCTGAAGTAAAAGAAGTAGAGCCTACTTCTGCTACTTCCAAGCAAAAAAGTATATTTAGCTCTTTGAAAAACTTACTTCCAATACTTCCTTAAACACTTATGTGACGTCTACGTGTCATCCTTACTTTTAAAATATTTTTTCAATCATCAGTACTCAGGAGTAGTTTAGAAAAAGTTAAAATGCATATTAATTAGGAAATAAATAATTTTTATTAATATTTCCTTTATTAGTTATTTCTAACAACTTTTCATTGATAAAATTATTCTTAATTTTAACAATTATTTTATAGTAATTTGTGATGGTCGTCGATCAGTTTTTCTTTGGGATGGAGAGAACAGTTTGTTTATTAATTCTTTGTCTAAATATCACGTTGATATTACGATCAAAGGAGCGAGGGAGGAGGGAAATTGAAGATTCATAGGAATTTATGGTCATCCGGAGTCTCATCGTAGGCGAGAGGTAAACAATTATTTTGAAGCTAAGTGGTTGAAGGATTCTTTTTGCTCTCAAGTGGCGAGGGATCATAGCGGCATGAAACTAGTTGTAACGTGCTAGATCAAATTAAAGAGCGTGGCGTGACTTTGAAATTGTGGAAGCAACATGTGTTAATTACTTCCTAATATTTTTAAATGTTATCCAAACAAAACAAGTAAATGAAGAGGAAGAAGTTCCACTTTCATTACTTCTAAAAATATATGAAACAAACAAAAAAAATGTTATTTACATTACTTCCTACTTCATAGTTTTAAAAGTTACTTCTATAACCTACTTCTTACTTCCAATACGTCCATTATCCAAACAGGTCCTAAAGTGGAAACCTCAAAACTACTCCCATAAACAGTAAATCCTAGGTGGACCAATGGGCTTCAACCTAGTTTTGCACATCATTATCTATTCACTTTTTTAATTTAAAAGTGCCCACGTACAAGAGTTTTAACTGATCAAAACCATCAAATAACTTAATTTCTTTATCCCCTAAACAACCAACAAGAAATTGAAAAAGATAAGGGATGTCCCCGAAAAAATTGAAAAAAAAAAACTGAACACGTACGCTTGTTGATAGGGGTTTAAATGATAACCAAACTTAAACACATTTTTCTAGCACGAAACAATAACCTAGAATTGAATATCCTCGATCAGCTCCTCCGCACACAAGAATCATGCTTGAAAGGCCAAAATCAATTAGAAAGAGAGATGAGAAAGCAAGTTGCAGCAACATTGAGAGTGAAAAGGAAGAAAATACAAAACAAATGCAAGGTATGTGGAAAATTAGGGCACAGCAAGAAAGCTTGTACAAATCCACCACTACCCAAAGCTTCACTAAGTAAAGGATGACAGACCACATAATAGTTTTGCGATTCCAAACATTAAACTAGAGTTAACTGTAAGGAAATATATGGGCGCTAAAAGGGGGAAGAAAACTGGTAAGCATTAGAAATTTTGAAATTTGGTTTTCTCTAAAAATTGAATTCATCAAACATTTTTATTCTAGTTCTAACCAAACATAAATTCAGACGACAGCATCAATATTTATCCAAAGAATATAGCCTACATTCTTAACTAAATTTACATATGCACAAACAATATTATTTATTTTATACATGCTTCCCATGCCCTTCCACCACCACAAACTACCAACACCCGTCATGTGAGTGGTTAGGTGAGAACTATTCCATACCTAACATATTGAATTAGTCCATAAATCCTTCTTTTTCTCTCTCTTATTCATTTATTACTGTTACAAGCACAAATAACTCGGATTGGGATCCTCTCCTCTCCTCAGGAACAGTAGTTCCTAAGGTTTCCTAATACATCTCAACCATTGATTTTGAATATGAGCACAAAAAACAAGGAGGCCCCATGTGATGAATGGTTGAGATGTATTAGGAAATCTTAGGAACTACTGTTCCTGAGGAGAGGATCCCAATCCAAATAACTCAACACGCTCCAACAACCACAACTCGAGAAGCTCGCCTAGCACTAGCCTATTCTCTATCAACTCAATGATGCATCACTCAATCATGACTAGCACCAAGTGAGATGGAGCAGAGGGTATTCAACTTACAAAGAACCTATACGGGTCTGTTCGGTTATTTCCTAAAAATCAAGAAATGGAAATGGAAAAGGTGAAAATATCAAAAAGTATTATTTCTTCCATTTCCATCCCTAAAACTCACCCACAACATCCAATAAAATATTATTTTCATCCAACCACTCATCCACATCATCTAATAAAATATTATTTTCATCTAACCACTCATCCATCACATCTAATAAAATATTATTTTCATCTAACAACTCATCCATCACATCTAATAAAATGTTATTTTCATCCAAACATCACACAACTCATCTCTTCTCATCATTTCAAATCATTCATATCATCCAATAAAATATTATAACAATTCATCTCATCTCATTAACATTTTATTTCTTTGTTTTCATCCCAAAAAGTTATGAAAACACTTTTCTTAAGTATGGGTCACACCACCCAATAATACAATGACAATTCATCTCATCTCATTTTATTTCTTATTTTTAAGAATGAACCAAACAAAAGAAAACAACAAACTACAGGAAATAGGTTTCTTATAATTCATTTCCTTATTTTTTTCGCCAACCAAACAACATCAAAACTAGTTTTCTTAAAAAATTACTCACATCATCCAATAATAATGTGACAACTCATCTCATCTCATCTCCATTTCTTTGATTTCCTTCTTTTTTTAGCCAATCAAACAATTCAAAAACCTATTTTTCTTAGAAATAGGTTTCATTTTCTTTGATTTCCCTCTTTTTTTAGGCAAACGAACATAAGGGGAAATGTATGCATCTCTATGACACATTTAAGGAAGACAACAAAAAGTTGCAAAAAGGGGGAAAATATTCCATCACAGCCAATATGAAATCTATGATCTGGTAGATGATCTATTTTATGACTTTAGGGGATGTTTGGTTGGTTTCCCATATATTGGGAAATTCAATTCCATGTAAAGAAACTCAAGTTTTGGGTTTTTTAAACTTTTCCAAGAAATAGATTGTTTAAGTTTCGTTCATACATAAAATATGATGGGAAACTGTAGGCGTATAAAACTGCCTATAGGTCCCTTAACACAAATCGACGACGCCGATTCGACGAACCGACCATCGGGCGACGTATGCAGACACGATTGTTAGTCCACAACACTGAAGCCAAGTGATACGCGACGAAACGGATTAACGAGGCAACGAGGCTAACGAATCACACGCAAACAATGGAATACATCCATTCGCATCAAGATAACAGTTCGGTGAGTCAACGAGTCATCCAACCATAGAACGGATTTGAACTCAAA